TCCAATGAGTATGAATGTTTCTTATGAGAACTCAAAACTAAAATGAAAAAAAAATGACTCTCGAACATTATAAATAGATAAATAACTCATGCATCTATAATATACATTAGATCTTTATTTATTTATTATTATTATTATTATTATTAGGGACTTATTTTCTTATATATTTTTGTTTGAGTTTGTAACATGTTATTTAAATCCTTTTATGTTACGACATCATTATGTTGTTTTAACAAAAAATTTATATTAAGAGTTTATTTGTTCTATATTTCATTTTGTTCTTGCAATTATATATTTATTAAATTAATTAATTTATCTTATCGGCCAAAAATATTTGTCACCACGTGCATTGCACGTGCACTTTACTAGTAGAAATGTAAAAGTCTTAAACAATCAACATAATAAATTATTTAATTTGTGATCCTAACGCACATTATTTTATCACATTAAACATAAACACACGTCAATATGAATAACAAATATACATTACTTTATGTAATTATTATGTTTTTAATGTGATGTATATCAACACAAATTAATTTTCCAATTCGACCCTTGCGGCCTTGCCCATGCCCAGGCCACATGATTGTTCGCTTATTATAGCAATGTCAGAAAATGCATGTGCACCTAATGTTCCGAATAATTTCAAAACAGCTAGCCCACATCAATTATTATATATTTTTTATTGTATAGTTGCCTCTCACATTATTTCTTTTAGGCCTAACTTCTATTTCTATCTACATAATTTTATCCATAATAACTCGTACTGTTCCAAAAATGTTATTCTATATTGACAATCTATAATAGAGCATTAAATATTTATTTGATTATTTAAACTTGTGTTTCTTGTCATGATAATTAGATGAATTTTGTCATTGTAATTATAATATTATTATCTTTAATTAAGAATCAAAATAATAAATGTAATGAGGTATGAGTAAGATAAAATGGAAATAAGTATAATTGTGGGTATATTAATTGATGATGTTTGAATATGTTAAATTTCCGCATTTCTTGATTTTAAACAGAAACTCTAAGAGCATGCCTGGATACAAAATTATCTTAAAAAAATCCAAACATTTTTAACTCAACCACTTTTTTAACTCAACTTTAACTCAACCCCACTATCATCAATATTATCAATATAATTAAATAATATTAAATCAATCATTCTTACACACCACATCACCTTAATTCACTATTCATTTACTCACATAATTTTAACTAACCATCACTTCAAATCTCCTCTCTCTTACTTTACATCAAATCAACTTTAATCACCTAATTTTAAATATTATTTTAATATATCTACTAACAACTAACCATACCATCTTTTTCAAAACTAACCAAACCAAACAAAAAAATCCAAACGAAACCAAATTTTTTTATATCCAATCATCCTCTAAATTGTTATGTTTTTGCTCTTTTGTCCCACATCGGAAGTGGGATGAGAGAGGAGGGGAGTTTTCCCCTATATAAGAAAGTGCTACTTCTTATGTAAAAAAAAAATCCCACAGGGTTATTGTGTTAACAATTAACTCTGGTTAAAAATCCCTTAGGGTGAGAGTTAAGGTTAACGGATAGAAAATTCTGTGGGGGTAATTTTGGGTATAAGTGAGTGTAGAAAAATTGTGTAATTTTTACATAGTGGATTTTCTACGGCCTTGTTGCCTTGGTGGTTTTTCCCTCTTCGTTAACAGAGGGTTTTCCACGTTAAACTTTGTGTTCTCCAGTTTTATTATTTTCAGTAGATCTTGGGCGGAGTTTCGGTGTGGTCGGAATTCTCAACAAGTGGTATCAAGAGCGAGGTTAGCCTAGTTGGTATTCTGAGTATGCTCTGTGGTTGCAGTTTTGTCTGATCTTCCACATCAGAAAAGATACCAAAGAGGTGTCTTCGTGCGGTGGAGCCAGTGACAGGTGGAGCTTGTGCGCAGAGGAGTTTTTTTGGGCAGTGGGGAATAATTACTGTGTAAGTAGGTTCTGTCTAGGAGACTGGCTTTTTTAAGTGGGACCGTTGTGACCCCACCAGCCTTTCCTGGGAGCTTACTTAGAAGGGTAATTCTTTAGGGGGCAGGTCGCTACCCTCCCTGAGAATTTATTTGATCAGTACTATTAAAGGTTGCTGCTCGGTTTTCTGCGAAGTTAGTGTTCACTAATTTACGAAGATGTCTGGAAATAAGATATCGAATCTGGCGAGATTTGATGTGGAGAATTCGACAGAAAAATCAACTTTGGCTTGTGGCAAGTGCAAGTGAAGGACGTGCTGATTCAGTCGGGGTTAAACAAAGCTTTGAAGGGCTCGGAAATTCCCAAAGGCAGTGCTACCAGCAGCACTGAAGAAAAAGCTGGTGTGAGCAAATCTGGAATGAGCGATGAAGATTGGGAGGATCTGGATTTGAGAGCGACAAACGCGATACGACTGTGTCTGGCCAAGAATGTTCTTGCTAATGTGCATGGAATTTTGACGGCAAAAGCATTATGGGACAAGCTTGAGGAGTTGTATCAGGCTAAAGGCGTCTCAAATCGGGTGTATCTGAAGGAGCAGTTTCACACACTGCGAATGACTGAAGGTCAAAGCATCTCAGACCACTTAAGCGTTCTCAATGGGATCTTCTCGGAGCTGGAATCCATTGGAGTGAAGATTGATGATGAGGATCAGGCGTTGAGATTCGCCTGGTCTCTTCCAACTTCTTATGAACACATGAAGCCGATCTTGATTCATGGGAAGGAGAAAATTATATTTTCTGAAGTCACTAGTAAACTTCTTGCGGAAGAGAGAAGGCTAGACGGTGTACGAAACAATTCACCGGAAGGTCAAGTCATGCTCGTCGGTGACGGAAAGAAGAGGAACTCCAGGAAGAAGCAAGTTGTAATTTGCTGGACGTTTGGACAATCTGGGCACGTGAAAAGAAATTGTCCGAAAGGAGGAGCAGGTTCGGCAAAAGGCTCCAAGTCGGTAAGTGGAGATACCGAAGAAGCTAATTTTGTCTCTCTCTCCATGGATGAGTTTTGCTAAGAGAGAAGGGGAGTCCTTATGGCATGTCGCTAAGTGTCATGAAAGAGGACGTGTTACAATTAGCGAGTCCACAGTTTACACACGGGCATTGGTTTGGCGGTGATGCAAGGTGTGTGGTGGAAAAAGCGTGTCGAGGGCTGATGAACTTTCAGGAAAGCCAAACGTGAAAGTTGCACCATAAATTTCAGCAAAGTTATTTTGACATGGGCTGAAGAAATGCTTGGATGCGAGTCCGAGTGGATATGCTTTTATGGTGGAGCATGATAGCGAAAGCTATGAAAAATTTCATCAAAGTGAATAGTGGCTGTCAAATGGGTCAAAATCGCAAGGTGGAGTTTGTTATGTTTTTGCTCTTTTGTCCCACATCGGAAGTGGGATGAGAGAGGAGGGGAGTTTTCCCCTATATAAGAAAGTGCTACTTCTTATGTAAAATCATCCCACAGAGTTATTGTGTTAACAATTAATCTCTGGTTAAAAATCCCTTAGGGTGAGAGTTAAGGTTAACGGATAGAAAATTCTGTGGGGGTAATTTTGGGTATAAGTGAGTGTAGAAAAATTGTGTAATTTTTACATAGTGGATTTTCTACGGCCTTGTTGCCCTGGTGGTTTTTTCCTCTTCGTTAACAGAGGGTTTTCCACGTTAAACTTTGTGTTCTCCAGTTTTATTATTTTCAGTAGATCTTGGGCGGAAGGTCTAATGCACGTATAAATTATATATTAAATTATTATATACTGAAAAACTTAAAATATAATATTAATTCTGAAAATTATTTAATCATTATTTCTTTACTTTTTTTTTTTAATTTAATTATATAATTTATTATTGTTGCTTCATGAATCGGACTACGATAGTAGTTGATATTCTATATAATTATTTATTCGTTTTTGGTGCATCCCTTCCTAATATAATTAGGGTAAGACTACAATCCCGTTACTGAATCATTCTGTTGAATTTGTAATTGTTAGATAAACATGTTACACTCATCTATATGTACATCTAACGGTTAAAAATCCCAACAGAATAGTTCCATATCAGGACTTTATCCTTTTTCTATAATTTCTACCTAAATTCAAATCAATTTGGTTGCATGCGTAATTTCGCAATTTCCTTCTAGTAAGCATGAGGAAAAATCAAATGTAGTATTCCATTTGTAGATAAGATTGTTTTTGATAGCGCAGTCTAAGTCTAACCTAATCTATATTTGTATCCTTTACTAGACAAAATTAAAATAAAATAAGATAAATGTGTTCAGATTTATTTAAGCAAGTCATGTTGTAGCTTTCGGCTCATAGCCGTCGCTTAAGCCGCAAGCTTTTACTTTGATGCAACAGTTATCACATTCGTGTGAGTAACTAATTCCAACCATTAATTAATTTCCCTATCAAAGTCAAGCCATCTAATTCTAAGTTGGCTTATATGGCTTTTACGTATAATTTCACGTGACGCCATATGGAGCATTACTTGAAAACTCACATTATTATTTTTTTTTTAATTTCAATAATTAAATATATACTTTGTAGTTTAGATGTATTAATTAATTTTATCGTACAACAATTATTATTATTAATGTTAAGATGCATATACAAGGTACAGTTGCTGTTGACCAACGTTACATTTTTAATATTGAATTATCATATTTGTAAGAATGATATAAAAGTAAAATAATAATATTATACAATATAAATATGTATTTTTATTTAAAGAATAAGACAGAGTCAACTCAATTAATTAATTGTATTTGGAAAACAGAATACCCATTTTGATTTTTTTTTTTTTTTTTCTCATCAATTTATTCGAATACGACCTAACTTCCGCGTTCAAAAAAGATGTCTCGTGTGGTAAAATAAAACCAAAGGGCTCTAAAATTTTCTAACTTTTAAGCAACCATGAGTGTGTGTGTGTTGCCAAAGTTTTCTTCTCTATAAATACACACGGCCCCATCCCTTTCAATTTCAAAAAAAAAAATTGTCTAAAACAATCCAAATGAATAGCCAAGTTAAACCATCCTTCCTAAGAAAAATTGATGAAGAAGAAAAGATTGAGCTAAAATATGTGGATCTAAGAGAGAGTACGGGCGGTGCGAGGCCGGTCGGGGCCAAAAAAGTGGCGGCGCCACCAAAGAGTAAGCCGGAGAGGAAGACAACAGAAGATGTTAATGAAAGTGCAGAAGCTTTTATAAGGAAATTCAGACAGCAATTGCTCCTTCAGAGGCTCGAGTCCATTGAAAACTACGAGCAAATGCTTAAGAGAGGAACTTAATTAGTTAGTTAATTAGCAAAATTGTTTGATTAATTAGCAAAATTGTGTCCACGAGAATTTCATTTATTTACTTCTCCGATCCTTTTTAATTTGGTCTCGGTAGATCTGTTTTATTTGTTATTTATATTTGTGTATTATTCACTTAAGGGGAAAAAAAAAAATAAAAAAATAAGGGCTTTATGTGCTCGATCATATATATATGCATGTGTCGAAGTTAATTTTTGTCCAACTTTATTGGTGTTTTATGAGCTAAATTATATATGTTGGTTTAAGTTTCTTTATTTTCTTGTCGGGGAAAAATTGGGTCATCCTGATTGAGGCATATTAAGGGGACTTCTATGGTTTATTATTATTATTTTTATTTTTTTCGTGTATAAGATAAAACTTTATTCTTAAATTTTAAAATTAATGAGAAAAACTATATTAAATCATATTTATTTTTTTACAAAAAAAAAAAATATATATATATATATATTACTATATATTTTAGAATGATACTTGTTACTTGTGAGTTACATGTGTTATATTATAGTAATTTTTATAACTTATATCATATAACTAATTTTATTATAGTTATAAAGATAGATATAATTTATTTTTTGTACATACAATATGGATGTTAAATCGAAACTCATCAAGAGATGATTAATTTGATATACTACATATGTATAACTGATAAAAAATACAAAAGTTATTGACTTTTAAATATATATAATTCAATAATTATAATAAGAAATGATATTAAAATGCAATTCATATATATAACATGACCATAAATAATTAACATATTTATGGTAATCCGAACCTAATTATTTTTTGATTGAAATTAAATTAAAATCTACCCAAGCCTAATAACGAAGCATGTAATTCTACCACATAGGATCCCGAAGCACGCAAATCTGCCACTTAAACTTAGCACGTTCTGAATTAATATATAGGAGGATGATTGGAAGTACTAAAAATTACTAGAATTAAAAAAAAAAATATATATGTATATAATTGGGACATATTGAGAAGTTCATTGAAATATAAAATCTAGGAGGTATGAATATGGGCTTTCCATCCTATTTGTTAGAATATTACTTGTGAGTTGTTGTCCCACATCGTTCATATATAGAAAATAGACCCACCTTATAAGTCTAACGGGCTACTTCTCCTTCCACCAATTGGTTTTGGGATGGAATAACACTTAGGGCTTCATATGGGTTTTTCCCGCTTATGGTGCGCTTCATGTTAGTGGGCCCCTCAGTTTCTTTCATGGTATCAGAGCCGGTTCTATGGACCGTGCAATGACATACCCATTTACCCAGCCTGTTTCTAGTAGGACTTGGGCCCACGTACCCGTTTATGGGAGTTTGTTTCTAGTAGGGCTAGGACTTTCGAAGGACTCACAAGTGAGGGGGCGTGTTAGAATATCACTTGTGAGTTGTTGTCCCACATCGTTCATATATGAAAAATAGATTCACCTTATACGTCTAACGGGCTACTTCTCCTTCCACCAATTGGTTTTGGAATGAAAACCTACTTGGACTTCATATGAGTTTTCCCCACTTATGGTGCGCTTCATGTTAGTAGGTCCCCAGTTTCTTTTACTATCTTGGGTGCATTTCACACCATTGTCTAAGATTGGGTTTTTATTATTGAACTGATAGTTTAATACACATTCTTAAAAGTATGCAGTGTGTGCTAGTGATTCTTTAGTAATAATTTCGATGTGGTCGGCAATGCAGTCGAACGCCTGACCTATCTTAAAATTTTAACTATGAGTGATACAAAGTGAGTGTTGAATACAAAAGCATCGAACTGAAATAAAAATGAAATAAAAATAAAAAAAAACAAAGTACAATGTTAAGCAGAAAGATTAAAGCGAGGCGAGAAGTCTCGTTCCATAAGATAAATACGGCCCCGTATAGTGCTGACGAGTCTGTGCGTCTTAACATGAAAGATACAACGGCAAACGTCTCGAAAGCTGTAGCACACCAGACTTCGAAGAACCAACGAATAAGAAGAGTCGAGAACGGAAAACTTATAATATGATGCGTGAGACTTTTGAGAGTGAAATGTAGATGATCTTGTGTGTGTTTCTGCTGCTCTACTATGTCCTATTTATAAGACTTTCAACCAGGTAGGGAATGACCAAAGGTCATTTGCTACTAATGGCAAGTAATAACTTAGTCATGGTTGTTGTAATGGGCATAAAACGACAAGGTGTTAAGCCTTTTTTTTTCAAGTGTTGACACACTACTACTCTACCTAAAACGGTCAGGTAGAGTCTGTTAGGACCAACAATTCAAAACCCTCTATATTCTGAATGAACATCCATCCTCTTTCTTTCTCTCGGGCAGTCTTCCTTTGGTTTGGAGCTAGTCGGCATTCGTTTATAGCTAGTGCTCCCCGGCTGCTAAGCCCAACATATAAGCCCAAATGAGGTTCCACTCTAAAACCAATTGGCAATAGAGGGAGTAGCCCACTAAGCTTATATATTGACTTGGAAACCATTAATTTTCCGATGTGGGATTGGGTTTGCACACCCAACAAACCTCCCCTCAAACACAAGACCACATTGGGCCTCCCCTTGAACGAAATCCGACCATCTTGTACCGCCGTTATCACCCACGGAACCCGCCGCCTGACCACACTCATTCGTCAGGAAGACTTTCGACACAAGGCACACGGATTTACCGGCCCTTCCGGCTCCACGAGGAATATGCCACGTCATCCACATCGCAACTAGGCTACCAACCGTGGCTCTGATACCAATTGTTAGGATCAACAATTCAAAACCCAGTTCTCCATCAAGCCCAACATATAAGCCCAAATGAGGTTCCACTCTAAAACCAATTGGCAATAGAGGGAGTAGCCCACTAAGCTTATATATTGACTTGGAAACCATTAATTTTCCGATGTGGGATTGGGTTTGCACACCCAACAAACAGATGAGGTATTTAATAATACCTCTTTTTTTTCCTTTTTTCTTCTTCTCCTTACCAACTAAACTTGGCCTTGGTGGTTGATGGATGTGCCCTCTTCGTTAACAGAGGGTTTTCCACGTTAAACTTTGTGTTCTCCAGTTTTATTATTTCCAGCAGATCTTGGGCGGAGTTTCGGTGTGGTCGGAATTCCCAACAGAGTCAACATGTCTAGACAATATATTTAGAGAGGTCTCTCACAGGTTAGGTAAAAGCCTGAGTCCAAACTCAACTTGATTTGAATTTTATTTTGGGTTACAATTCTCAAATAAATAGCAAATAAATTATACGAACTGGGACTAAGGCCCAAGCCCAGACCGCCCAAGCCTAGGTCATAGTCTAATTGTCAAGTACCAAGGCCCTAGCTTAGGCTCGTGACCGTGACCGTGTCGTACCGAGCCGACCGGCTGGCACGCGCGCGTGGCCGAGGCCATCACCAAACACTTGGTGCATATATTTATTGTTGTTGTAACTTCTCCAATTCTATTTATTATAATAAAGAGAGATTCATATGACATTTTTCCTTCTTTTTTTTTTTTTTTTTTT